GATGGATGGATGGATGGATGGATGGATGGATCCACAAACATCTTGTCTAACTCCATGTTTTCTGTTCCAGAGTTCTCTCTCCTTTTGGAGACACATCGATGACGACCCATCAGAGGAGGGGTTGCAAACCTCTGCAGAAACAAGACAAACTTGCAGGCAAAACTTAACATCAGACAACGATAAACTCAACAATAGAGAGTTTAAAAGTAATGACTCACCTTTTAACTCCAGAAGCCCACAGAGACCAGATGATCCCGTCCAGCTGCAGATCCTCATGTTAGAAGATGATGAGGTGGTGAGAACATCTGCAGCTTCTCTTTATGCCAAACATCCTGCAGTGAGTTCAGTTCATGTTGTCGACCCCCAGCAAAGAGTCCACCAGGTCAAAGGTCAACCAGTGGTTCTGTCAGAACACAGCAGCCTGGTTCTGGTCGGCCATGGAGCCAGAGACCGTTCAGGAGAGATGAGAATATCAGGGTACACCTCCAAAGATGTGGCCAGGATCATCCAGAACAGCTCCAGGATCAGCCAGAAGATCCAAACTACTACAGTTGTGGCCTGTGAGGCTGGATCGGACCAACGGTTCAGAGAAGCTCTGCTGAAGGAGCTCCATGAAGCCGGCATTGAGACGGAGCTCCACCTGTGGACCGCTGTGGTCCAGGTCACAGAGAGCGGAGAGGTCATCAGTCAGGACGTCTCTGCAGATGGAGCACAGTGGAGATCTGGAGATGATACCAAGAAGGTGGTTCTGACTGTTGGCAGCAACGGAGAGATAAGGAGGAGGAAGGAGACGGACCACAGAGGACGGGAAGTCCTCACCAATCAAACAAGATTGTTAGGTGATCCAAAGACAGACCAGAACCATCCTGAGGGAAAAAGCTGGCCAGAACGTCCAACATTGTTTATTGACCCAGAAATTTATAAAATGATTGACCAAAACAAAATTGCAGAAATAACTGAAGACATTAAGATGCTGGAAGCTTTTACTTGGGGGCTGTTTCACCCGGAACCAGGGGCAACAGCAGGGGCAACAGCAGCGGCAGAACCAGGGGCAGACATTCCACAGTGTCCTAATGAAAAGGATAACTATTTTATAGGAGATCTAATTGCAGAAGAACACAAAAAAAATACGAAAGAGCAAAATATCGACAAAGTTCTTAAGAGCTGTTTTAAGATCAGTTCTGGAAAAGACATCAAGAATGTCATTCGTCATTACGGAAAGGATGAAAAGTATGGAAAGAATGGAAAGGATGAAAAGGATGGAAAGAAGGGAAAGGATAAAAAGGATGGAAAGAAGGGAAAGGATGAAAAGGATGGAAAGAATGGAAAGGATGGAAAGGATAAATCAACATTCCTGATGGTTGATAACTGGATATTTGAAGTTGGATCTGTCGATCTGTACGTGAGACCGGTTGGAAATTATCATGGGATCATAGAAGACGAAGACAGACAGGAGAAGAGAGAGGTAATAAGTAACAGGATTACGAACAGAGGTGGGGAAAGTTACGATAGCATAAAAAAAGGTTTGGTTAATGGAAAAAACCAAAATCAGAAAATTAAAGAGAACAAAAACAAAGAGGCAGACCTGAAAAAGGATTATCGTTATTATGTTAGGCAAATATTTTTAGGAGAACCATATGATCAACACCCAAATGAGGACAGACTATACTTTGCTTGGTATTTCACAGCTTCTATCATCATAGAATCTGCCAGAAACTTCCGAACATTTCCAATAACCCTCATGGCCATGGATATGGATCAACGCTATGTTGAAAATAAACCAGATTTCTGGTTTGATGACCATTCAATGGCCAGAGGAGGAAGCTGGATTGATGAGAGCAGGAGAGGATTCAGCGGATCAGCAGCTCCGTGTTTTAACAAAAAGAATGAGGCTGATCAAAAAAAGCTTAGTGATGTTCCAAAACGAGAATATGTGGTGTTTAAACACTGGAAGGAATCTTTGAAGGAACCTTTGAAGGAATCTTTAGAAAACATTGCCGAACTGGAGAAGATGACTGAAATTGCTGTTCATTACAAAGTATTAGACGAGTCAAAGAAGGATACGTTTAAAGCAGATTGCTTAAACTTTATTGAAAAAGCAAAGTTTGAAAGCAACTGTGAAGGTGAACCTTCAGGCTCTGCAAGCAAAGGAGCTTCTGAAAAACCAGGGATCAACTCAGCCCAGAAACCAGCTCATACTTCTAAAAAAACATCCATGAATTGATTCCAGGAGAACCTGGAAGATGTTCTGTATTTGTTTTTTGCTGATTTGGAATTTTTCCAATATTGAATAAAAGCTCAGAATTCACAGAGTTCTCTGTCTTCTTTGTGTTGAAACATTGAACCTTTAGAAAGCCGACTGCTTCCACATTTAGCTCT